TAAATAAATTATACAGCTTAATGGGACCTAATACATTATTTTGCTTAATTAGAATAAAAAAACTTACATTAGTTAATTCGACTAAATAATTCACATTGGTTAATTCGATTAAATAAAGTACATTACTTAATTCGACTAATTTACACTGAATAGATTACACTGGTTAAGTACACTAAATAGATTACACTGAATAGATTAGAGTAGACTAAATAAATTTAACGTTGTTAATTACACTAAAATCGATTACATTGGTTAAGTATACTAAATAAATTACACTAATAGATTAGATTAAGTAGACCAAATAAAATTAACGTTGTTAATTACACTAAATCGATTACATTGGTTAAGTATACTAAGTAAATTACACTGAATAGATTATACTGGTTAAGTAGACTAAATAAATTAACGTGCTTAATTACACTACGTCGATTACACTGGTTAGATAGACTAAATAAATTAACGTTGTTAATTACACTAAATTGATTACATTGGTTAAGTAGACTAAATAAATTACACTGAATAGATTAGATTAATTAAGTAGACTAAATAAATTAACGTTGTTAATTACACTAAATCGATTACATTGGTTAAGTGGGCTAAATAAATTACACTGGTTAATTAGACTACAAAATACATTGGTTTATTCGATTACATAAATTGCATTGATCAATTAGACTAAATAAATTACAATAAATCTGTTGAAAAAAAAAAAACTTGTGTGCGCCTCCGCGACTTCAAGTTTAGTAAATGCATTTCACAATCTTGACGTACATTGGTTCAATCTCCGCTGCCAGCCGTTTTATAAAAAACAAAGGCAGTTTAAAGCTTTCTAGCAGTGGTAAAAGAGTCACACCGTGAAAGTGACTGTAGCGTCACCGCGTAATATTTACAGAGACACCGGTGGATTTACTGTATATAACTGGTAAACAACAAACAAATGAATTGCATGGTATCTGGCGCACTTAGATAAGAAATAGTGGCTATCCATGTGGTTTCCGGGGCCCCATTGGAAAGGGGTGGGAAGGGGCGGGCAGAACCGCTGCCCTTGTAACAAGCATGTCTTAAACACAGCCATGCCGCGCTATGATACAGAGAAGTGGCCGCATCAGGCGACACCTTAAGAGGGCGGCATCAGCAGCGAAATCAAAATACAGTTAGAACTGTTAATATGACAGTGCGAAGCTATTAGCGGTTTCGTTTCGAATACTTGAATCATGCCAGAAAAATCTACCGCACGGGACTGGCCGTAACAAGCGATACATGTAGGGGTTTCCTTCAAAGTTCGAATACATCTGCCTGAGAGACAAGGAACCAACAATCTACACACAAATTACCGATATCTGTAAAATGGATGTGCACTCAAAACTCAAGTTCTAGAATAAGACTAAAGTACGGAATTGGGCAAACAACCAACTTTCCGCATGACTTTACAGCCTGTGAGCACAAAACAGAAGAAGAAGAAGAAGAAGAAGAAGAAGAAGAAGAAGAAGAAGAAGAAGAAGAAGAAGAAGAAGAAGAAGAAGAAGAAGAAGAAGAAGAAGAAGAAGAAGAAGAAGAAGAAGAAGAAGAAGAAGAAGAAGAAGAAGAAGAAGAAGAAGAAGAAGAAGAAGAAGAAGAAGAAGAAGAAGAAGAAGAAGAAGAAGAAGAAGAAGAAGAAGAAGAAGAAGAAGAAGAAGAAGAAGAAGAAAGAAGAAGAAGAAGAAGAAGAAGAAGAAGAAGAAGAAGAGAAGAAGAAGAAGAAGAAGAAGAAGAAGAGAAGAAGAGAAGAAGAAGAAGAAGAAGAAGAAGAAGAAGAAGAAAGAGAAGAAGAAGAGAAGAAGAAGAAGAAGAAGAAGAAGAAGAAGAAGAAGAAGAAGAAGAAGAAGAAGAAGAAGAAGAAGAAGAAGAAGAAGAAGAAGAAGAAGAAGAAGAAGAAGAAGAAGAAGAAGAAGAAAAAGAAGAAGAAGAAGAAGAAGAAGATGAAGAAGAAGAAGAAGAAGAAGAAGAAGAAGAAGAAGAAGAAGAAGAAGAAGAAGAAGGAGGACGATGAGGAGAAGAATAAGAGAAGCTATGGACAAAATCGCTTCCTAATTTCGAAGCAAGGGTCTTAGTTTGAACAGTAGTCAAACAGAGATAATGGTTAATTATACAGAAAATTGCGGCGTCCGTGGCTAAGGCGTTGCGAGTCCGACTCGTAAGCCAGCATACCGCGATCGAAACCCACTGCAGGCTGCGAGGATTTTTGTCGTGGTATGGGACGTCGCAGGTCGACCCAGCCTAAAATGGGTACCAGGATGGGCTGTCCACGACCAGCTCTAGCTGACGGGCCATGCTGCTGACGTCACCGGGTCGGGCTAATAATGCGTTAACGCAGCAGTTCTCAAACTGGGGGCCGAGGCACCCTGGGGTGCAGTGAGCGTATGCCAGGGGTGCCGCGGCAATAATCAAGAAAAGTCGGCTAAAAATTGTGAAATTATTAAAGAAGGCCTGTAGATACTTAAAAGTTAAAATTTAAGTTGTCTTACCCCGCCACTGTCGAGAAAAGTTTATTCCTTGTTTTAGAACCGCTGCGTTAATGCGTTGTTAGCCCGACCCGATGACGTCAGCAGCACGGCCCGTCAGCTGGAGCCGGTCGTGGGCTGTCCTGGGAAAGTAAAGACAGCCGGCGTAATGCTGACCACATTACCCACAGAGTGCTGATGGTCTGTAAAAATATGGGACGCTCTGCCCATATGCCCGATGCGCCGAAAAGGCGAGAAAAGGGATCTTTACTTTACTTATACAGAAAATGGGCCTTCCAAAATGCAATATCAAAGTAAATGCGACAGTCCTCATGAAAGTTTATGTATATATTCTCCCCGTATGGGTTGGTATTATAGAGAAAACTAGAACAGACCCACTGCCTACCAAAAAGCATGTCGTAGGAGTCGACTAATTGTGAGCTTCCTTCGAAGTCGGAGTCCATCTGCCTGAGAGGCAAGGAACCAGCAGTCTGCATACAAATTAGTCAGATCTGTCAAACCGATGCACACGCAACACATAGGTTCTGGAACAGGACTGCAGTCCTGAAGTGGACGAACAACCAGAACTTTCCGCCAGAGCTTACAACCTGTGAACATGAAGAAAAAGAATAAGATATATATAAGTACGTGGGTACACTGATAACATCAAATGGAAGACATTAAATATATTAAATGTACGAAAGCTCAAGCGAAGGCAGCGTTTTACAAAAGGAAGCATATTCTGTGCAATCGTTCTTTGTCAGGTGAGACGATAAAGAATATTTTTTAGAGCCATATAAATTAGGTCCCTATATATGGAAGTGAATCATGGGCAGCTGGACGATTAATAAAGCATTTTCTTTAAAGCGGAGCTGTTTTATAGATGAGATTATGAGAATACCCTGAACAGATTAAAAAAGAGTATTGAAGACGTCTTGAAAGAAAATGACTGACAAAGAGAACTGATAGCTGAAACTAGAAAGAGACAATCAGAAAGAGGCAATCTACATTCTTTGGTCATGTGATGAGAAGGAGAAAACTGCAGTACATCGTGACAAAGGGAAAGTTTGAGGGAAGTAGAGGCAGAGATAGACCGAGACGGAAGTTGCTGGACAGGTTGACATCATGCTATGAAAGATCATCTGTGTCAGAAATGACTGGAAGTACACGAGACACAAGATCGTGGATAGATATGATTATCAATGCCACACTGCCTGGGTTGTAGGAAGAAGTTATATGGTAAACAACCAACGCACGGTGTATTATTGGCTATTACCTATGTGTATGTTGTTTACTTGCGTATCCTTTACAGGACGTTGCAGAACCAACCCCAACAGCCCCTGGCTGTTGTGTGGTTTTTCTAGGCAAATTTACGTCCAGTCGTTTACCATTGCTTACTGGACGGCCGGCTTTCTTGATACCACTGTCAAAACCAACACAATGCGCATGGCCCGCAGCTGGGATCGAACCCGGCATCTCGGCATTATGAAGCGTTCGCATCGACTTAGCCACAGAGCCGACCATGTTGGACAAAGAAGAGGAGAAATATTGACATCTTAAAAGATCTGAACATCAAGGAAGATTGGCTAATAAACAGCATTCTTTCTCGGAAAGCTGAAATATTTTTGTCATATCAAGCGCCACAACGGATTGGAAAAAAATTACACCAGAAGGCATGGCACTAGGAAGGAGGGGCAGGGGCCGACCGACACGAAGATGGGCACATGATATAAGTGGCTCCTTGAGTATGAAAGTGCATGAGGCGGGAGAGCTGGCGAGAGAACGAATTTCTCTCAGGCAAACCGCGATGAGAGCGACGTTCTGCAAAGGACCTGCTACATGATGATGATGACCTATCTGTATAAGCGCAACATAATATGTGTTATGTTTTCATATTTGGTCTGTCGGCGCTAAAGAAATATGGCTAAATATTTTACTATGCAGCACAAAGTTTGTTGTGTCGTTGAAAGTGATACATTGATACTTCTAGGCTGAGGTTATTGCGCGATTGTAGGAAAATAATTATAATGTAAACAACCATCTAGTTTTTATTTGTCCTTGTTTATGGTGTATGAAAGAAGAGACACCGATTGAAAACATACAATTAGCGTGTTTACAGTAAGCCGCTTGAGGTGAAGTTGGGAAAACACCAAACAACACGCTTTTTGGAGATTTCTTTATCTCCTTTTCCTCCTTTGATCCTCATCCTCCTTCATCTCCCCTCTTTTTCTTATTTACACACACATAACCATAACAATAAGCAGGGAGAGAGAGAGAGAGAGAGAGAGAGAGAGAGAGAGAGAGAGAGAGAGAGGAGAGAGAGAGAGAGAGGGGGGGGGAAGTAACAAATTTACAAAGACCCTTCTCTTATTTCAGAATAAATTTACCACCATGCGCCCTTGAACTGCCGGTTACCAGACCAAAACACAGACCAACATAATCTTTTGGAATTTGGCTTCTTTTTATTGCCCACCATAACATTGCAATTGGACTCATCCACCAAAGAGCCAAACGGGCACGATGAACGGGATTACGGCTCTGTACCCACTCACAGAGAAAGGTGCACGCAAACCGAAGTGTGCCCGATGTAGAAATCATGGGATGGTCTCCTGGCTCAAGGGGCACAAACGGCACTGCACGTTCAAGGACTGCACCTGTCCCAAATGTAATCTCATAGCGGAACGACAGAGAGTTATGGCTGCCCAGGTGAGACGTTTATTCTTTGCTCCCTCATTCATTTGCTCGCTCGCTCGCTCGTTCACTCACTCACTCACTCACTCACTCACTCACTCACTCACTCACTCACTCACTCACTCACTCACTCACTCACTCACTCACTCACTCACTCACTCACTCACTCACTCACTCACTCACTCACTCACTCACTCACTCACTCACTCACTCACTCACTCACCCACTTACTAGCTGACTCACTCACTCTTCACTCTCTCACACTCACTTATCACTCACTCACTCACTCACTCACTCACTAGCTGACTTACTCACTCTTCCACCTCTCACAATTATCTCACTCAATCACCCACCAATCCAGGCACTCACCCATCCACCCACTCATCCACTAACTCACTCAATCACCCACTCACTCAATCACTCACCCATTCACTCACTCACTTTATCACACACACACTCACTCAATCATTCACTCACTCACTTTCTCACACATTCACTGAATCACTCACCCCCTCACACACTTCTTCACTCACTAACCCAATTACTCACTCACTCACACTCACTCATTCACTCATGTATTTGCTTGCTAACTCTTTAATTGACTCTCTATCCCTCTTCCCCCTTTCCCCTCTCACACTCATACATTCACTTTGATATACCATGTATCACCAACTTATTCATTGTGATATACCATGTATCACTCACTCATTCATTGTGATATACCATGTATTACTCACTCATTCATCGTAACATACCATGTATCACTCACTCATTCATTGTGATATACCATGTATTACTTTATTACCATGTAACATACCATGTATCACTCACTCATTCATTGTGATATTCCATGTATTACTCACATACCATGTAACATACCATGTATCATTCACTCATTCATTGTGATATTCCATGTATTACTCACATACCATGTAACATACCATGTATCATTCACTCATTCATTGTGATATTCCATGTATTACTCACATACCATGTAACATACCATGTATCATTCAATTATTCATTGTGATATTCCATGTATTACTCACATACCATGTAACATACCATGTATCATTCAATTATTCACTGTCTTCACGGTTTATTCTTTAGCTCTCTGTCGGTTTTGTTTACTTATTCACTCTGTCTCTGTCACAGTTTCTCTCTTCCTCTCTCTCTCTCTCTCTCTCTCTCTCTCTCTTTCTCTCTCTCTCTTTCTCTCTTTCTCTCTCTCTCTCTTTCTCTCTCTCTTTCTTTCTCTCTCTCTCTCTCTCTATCTCTCTACTTTTATCAACTTATATACGTGTGTGCATTTTTTCACACAGGGAGTACACGCTTAGAGGTCTGAGCATAGCCAAAAAAATACGCCCCACACCCCTACATTATATCAAACAACAAATTACGAACAAGAAAAGATCAGTGTTGCATAAATACAATAATTAAACACATATAATCAAGAGTAAGCAATGAATAATCATATTAAAATATTCAGTCTGTTTTACTTTGAGTAGTTAATTCTTTCTATAGCAAAGTACCCTATTGCACTCCCATAGACCTATATTTTCTAGACAAATCGGCACTCGGTGGGCAATGTCGTCAACATCCAGCCAGCCGCCTTTACTTTCCAGGAATTTACCTGGTACCCATTTAAGGCTGGATCGACCTGGGAGCCAAGACCTTTTTTTTAAAAGTCTGGCTCGGTCAAACCTGAACCCAGACCTTCAGATCCGAAGGTGAGCGTTTAGCCACGACACCACGGCGGCTCCCTCCAAAGGCGAGCGTTTAGCCACGACACCACGGCGGCTCCCTCCAAAGGCGAGCGTTTAGGCGGCTCCCTCCTTTCGTTACCAGTCCCTCAAAAGGCGAGCGTATAGCCCACACACCCGTTAGTCCCATCAACCGTTAGTCCAATGACCGTACATAGTTATTTCTCTTCTTTCATTATAGATAATTATTACAGTAATTCACTAATCTTGTTGCTAGTTTAACATCTATGGCCCCAAATTGTTATTATTTCATCAACTTCTTTGGACTCAAACAATGGCTGCTTCATACTAGAACTTCTAAAGATATAAAGTATCACTGACTGACTGACTTTTTTAACCATATCTGGACACCACACAAGCGATAAACACCGGGTGACACAAAGTGCCACCATGCGTATGAGGATCACCCGTGGAGAGGTCCCAGAAACCCCTTTCAGTCGTTAGGCCATATCTTTGGCTAGGCCATATTTATGCCCCGGCTATATTCAGGGCGCCCGGCAGAAGCCAGGGTGGGGCTTCAAATAACAAAAAATGGCATCCCACATGGAGACGACTTTTATCTACGTATAAAATGCAACAGTAAATGTAGGCACGGAGAGAGTTCTAACATTTAAGCCTTTTGTCTGAACAAAAAAATGCATATTTTATAATTTCGAAACAAAATTCTTATGTAATGTTTATAACTGTATTATTTGTTCATGTAAATTACACAAACATTTGCATTTGTTGCTATTTAATGGAAGAGTATTGAAAAAATACTGAATATCTATCAACAAATGATATAAACACATCAACGGAATTGCTTCATAAATTATATAGTATTTCTGGCAGACAGAAAAACAAAAATAACCAGCCGACTGAAAATAAGTACATCTGATATTTTTCGTCTTCGCCTTCATCAGCTGTAAAATCCGGCGGAAAGTTCTGGTTGTTCGCCCACTTCTGGACTGCAGTCCTGTTCCAGAACCTGAGTGTTGCGTGTGCATCCGTTTTACAGATCTGACTCATTGGCTTGCAGACTGCTGGTTCCTTGCCTCTCAGGCAGATGCACTCCGACTTCAAAGGAAGCTCCCAATTAGTTGACTCTTACGACATGCTTTTGGGTAGGCAGTGGGTCTATTCTTGTTTTCCCTATAAACAGGGTTCCGGAACCCACACGGGGAGAATATCTAAATGAAACTGACGACAATTAAAAAAAAAAATAATTAAAAAAAATTAAACACACACACAACACACACAAGATGAGAGAACTATAAAAGGATTATGCTGCTGTCAGTTCCTGAAAAATTATTTAGTAGGGTTATTTTGGAACGACTAAAAGATGTAATTGATAAAACAGATCCTGTACTGACCAGATAGCCTCATTACTTATAATATCAGAGCAAAGCATTGAATTGAACTCATTACTTTACATTGGATTCATTGACTATAAAAAACGTTTGACAGCATTGACGGGGAATTTTTAATGGAATCCCACAGAAAATTGAATTGGTAAGGCAATACACACACACACACCACACACACATTCATTGACTATGAAATACGATATTTATTATGGAATCCCACAGAAAATTATATATACTATATATAAATATATATATATACATATATACATATATATATATATAAAGACATGGGGGGTGGTGGTGGTGGACGGGGGGCGGGCGGGAAGGGGAAAAAAAAAAAGGGGGGGGGGGCTTCTTTAGCTATCTTATCCATATAGATTAAAAAAAAATACAAGAGTTTCTTTCAATAACTGCTGGAATTACAATATGGTTCACTCAAATTGTCACACAGTGGGCAACATTACTCTGACATACCACTAATAAAACAGTTACTAGTCTCTGTTGTCTGTCTGTGTGTGTGTGTGTGAGTGTGTGCGCGCGCGCAAAGACTACTCACTGTCTTTGGAAATAGAGGCTCCCATTCTCTCTCCCGACGTGACTCACATTCCACTGTCAGGCTGCCACGATAACTGATTAACAGTTTTTAAATACATTGTTTAAATAAGCAGCGGATTATGAAATCCATTAAAATTTGCTACGCATGGTATGTATTACAGTCTTGATATAGTTATATGATTGAGAAGATGGACCTATATTGGGCTCATCCTGAGAAAAGACGAACAAAGAATTATCACACAGGCATTTCAGTGGGAAATAGGGTTCTTATCTCGTTAAGCGCCGCTTGATGAGAGTGTCTTCCCTACCCATTGATGCCTCGATCTGGTCTAGGGCCTGTACTATGTCACAAGGTTGCATCCTAGGTCCCACGACTGAACTCAGCGTATAATAGAGCCTGCATACAGTCGTAGGACATAGGCTGAGCCTATAGAGTAGAGGGGGTTGTGGTTAGGCCCAGTTGTAATGTTTTGGGACAGTTAAAAGCGCCCACAGAATAGAAGACCCGATTTCACCGCCCGCTGACAACAAACAGTATGCTTCAAACCCCTGCGACATAGTACAAGCGCTACACCAGATGGAGAGGTCACTCTCACGGTGCTGCTTTATCGCGTCATGTACCGGAAATAGAGGGATTGATGAAACTAGGACAACCAAGAAAAACCCTAAGGCGACCGTTGATGACAAAAGCCAAAGGCGCTCGACTGGATTTCATCCATGATATATTGAAGTCATTACACAGTATAGAGCGGAGTCGAGAGATAGCCTGTCAACCTTATAAGGTATACAATGGCCCAATTAGGCAATTAATAAATGAAAGAATACCTGTCAGTTTTTAAAATAGATATGGAACAGTCCCCGAGCTTACCTAATGTTTTTTCTCAAGCTACCTCCAATCATTTACTGCAGGTGGCGCTAAAGCGACAACAGGCTGCGGAAGATGCCATTGCCCTTGGGATCCGCGCATGCGTCTCAGAAACCGGAATTCCTGTTATGACGCAAGGCCCTTTATGGGGACCTGGTACAGTTACCGCCCCTCTCACTCCATCGGAGAAATATATTCGACATGACAGCCATCGAGATGATGACGACAGTTGTG